GCCCCGCGCGCTCCGGGCCCGCCTCAGCCGTAGTGGTACACGAAGTCGTAGCTGCTGGGCTCCTTGGGGATGGGCGGCGGCGCCTCGGGGATCTGGATGTTCTCCAAGTCCAGCAGCCGCAGCTTCATCTCCATGCTCAGCAGCGTGTCCAGGTCGCTCTTGGTCAGCTCGCTGGACATGTCCTTCCCCAGGAGAGCGTTGAGGCCGTCAATCCAAATACAGTACTGTGGGGGAGAGAGGGTCATCGCAACCGCGGGCACAAACGGCGGTTCTGTCTAATCTTTCCATCCACTCGACAGTCTGAGACACTCCTACGCAGCCCCGCAAGAGGAAACACTGAGGGCATTAACCCATGGGTGAAAAACCTGGCCCCAAAACAGTGTCCACAGAGATTGCCAGGGCAAGGCAGCAGCCCGCGGCTCTAGGAGGGGGACAGGAGCTTCTGCTGTGGCGTAACCACAGAACAAGCAAAGGTATTGTCAGCATCAGTGTCTTATAGATGGGGAAAAGGAACGACTGACCGCACAGGAGGAAAGAAAGTAGCAGTCCAGGGAAATCGGTGTAGAAATGTTTTCTGGTAATAGAAAGGTAACTGCGGGGGGAAATAAGCATCAGCAACATCTTCTAAGAATGAACCCGGAGGGAGAGATCCCAGTCAAGTCTTTAAGAAGAAACTGATCCCTCTTAACCTCTGAAGTTAATATTCTACTGCTTAACAGCTACATTTCTTACCTCATATTTATTAGGTGCAATGAAGTTCAAGGTCTCATCGGGATCATATAGTATCGAGAACGCCAACTCTAACACTTCCTGGATGGAAAAGAATCTTTCACTCATCAATTGAGCAAAATGTCATAGCACCTTCTCCCCGCTAACCCAAGACAAGAAGCTGCCCCGCCGCAGCCCAGCACACCTTCCCGTGCCAGAATGCCGAGCGACTCCGAATCGCCCGTAGCAGAGCCAGCCTGTGCCCACAGCACCTACCACTCACAGAGGGGCACTGAGAAGGCCCAGATATGAAGTGGGCTTTGTCAACAGTGCACCTGCAGCACAGAAAACCATTTCCTCCTGTTGCTTGCTTTCAGTCTTTGACTCTACCACACTGGATATTAATTACAGGCAAAAGGGGAGCACTTACTTTGTTCTGTTTCAGTGCACTTTTCTCCTTCATGTGTGGACAATCCTTCCCTGTGACAATGGCTTTGATGTCTGCAACTGGAACTAACAGCAAAAAAATAAAACTCACAAACAAGAAATCCTAACCAGAAAAAGACAGAGCTTTGTTTTGTCTTTGCAACTGAACATTGTTCCTGGTTTTGTAGCTCATTACTGCAGCTTTCCAAAAACACATTACCAGTAACACATCCCTGCAGCTGGCTGTCGTAAGATATACCAAGCAATTTCAAGACTGAAAGGGTTTAGGCAAGGACCAAAAGTTGATCTCATCTCAGTCAGACCTTCAGCCACAGCCCTTTTTCTAGGATGATACTCAACAGCCTCTAGACAGCAGAGCACAGAACACTGCAGTGTGCTCAGAGCAGTAACTGGGACTTACTTTTTTCCTGTAGAGATTCAAAGGTCACTTCCCCCTGGGCATTATCTTCCAGATCTCCATAGTGTAACACCTTGTGATTCAGAGCCAGGCGACAGTACCAAAATCTTTCTGGAACACACACCAAGTACAGTAAGCTGAGCGAGATCCTTCCGTAAGGTCTTACAGCCACCACATCACAGTGTCCCCACCCGATGCCTCTACCCCCGCAGTTCCTCAGCACTGCTTCCTGTTCACGAGGGGATGGCTGTATCTTCAGGAATGCACCCATCCCAAACTACTGGCTGCTACAGACAGCCCAGGTAACCAGCTTTCCTTTCTGGCAACACACGGGCTGACAGATGAATCCATTAGATGTTACTTGCCTACAGTTCTTCGCATGAAAAAAATGCAGTAGATGCTGTCACCTCACCTTGCCTTCTACGATTCCCAATTTTTCGAAAGCTACTTCCCTCACAGAGCCTGTTCAGGCGCTGTTGCTTTATCAGCTCCAAGATCTCAGGTTGGATTTTCTCTCTCAGCTCCCTGGCAATCAAATGTGGAAGAGTAAGAAGAAAATGGAGATACTGGCAAGCACGGAAGGCAACTGGTTTTGTTAGGCACTTACACAATAGGTGGCGACTGGAAGTCATCTTGGCTCATTCTCTCAGACTGGCGTAGTCGCAGGATCTCAGAATAGCTCAGGCTGCGCAGTTTGCTCTTGAACTGGTCCAAGGAGTTTGGTTTAGAGGGGAGAGCCCGTGTGATCTGTTCCCTCACAACCTGCATAACCTGAAGAGGTTGGGCAGGGAGAAAAGCAAGTCACATTCTGGCTGCTTAATGGCAGCAGAGAACCAAGGCACAGCTCAGTGGCAGCAGAGCTGACATGGAATAACTGAGGCCAGGATCATCAACATACTAGTGACCTTGAAGATCCAGAAGAAAGAATGACCTCAGGTCATACCAAATAAAAGTTGGGCCATCCTCCCTTACAGCTCAGGTCAACTCCCTGTCATACCTTCTTTAACCAAGTGTACAGGCTGAGTGAACACGAACTGATTTGTAAAAGATTCTACAAAAATACCTCTTCTCCACTCTGACCTTATTAAAATCTTCTGCTGTTGCCCTCATTTCTTTCCAGGTCTTGTTCAACAGCTGGATGCAGATGGCAAATAGCTCTTCAAATGCACGGTCATGGGTGAAAAACATGGGGTGATAATCATTCCGGCCTTCGTTGGCTTCAGGAAGAAACAGAAACCACAACCATGTCAGCATATTGCGCAGGAGCTAACAGCAACTAAAATCTGCTACAGTGACAGAAACCTGAAGGTCAAAGAGATTGAGACAGCTCAAATGCTTTGTCTCCCCAAAGACAGTCTGTGTTGGGAATGGCAGCCATTCCCATGCATCACCACACAAGCCTCAGACTCGTGTGACCTTTTCACACTAGTCCCCCCCGATGACTGCTTGCAGTTGTTTCCCACTTGCCTCTGGCAGAATTTCTTACAGTGGTTAATTGTCTCAGAATGCTGTTTTGAGACTCTCAGAGCTACTAAACTTTTCTTAAGTTTATAATGTTTTTTTGAGTGTGGGATTTTTTTGTACAGCACCCTGCTGAAGCTTCAGGAAGTTGAAGCCTTCCACTTGTGTCAGTTTTTCAGGAGAACCAGAGTGCACACAACAAAATTTCTTACTTCATTTTGACACTGGTATTGTCACCAAGACACTGACTGACACCGCCACTCCAAGGTCCCCCTGCCCTTACATGGCAGAAGTGAGATAGAGGTACAAATGCTTGTGAATACTGCTCAGTCTGCAAGCTACTTCCAGAAGCATCAGCCCAGCAACTTGGAAAGCTGGTGTAATAACTGGTACTTACGCAGTTCCCCAACTTGCAGAATCTCACAAAGCATCCTGGTAAGCTCAATGGCACTGCGCCCAAAGGGACACTCATGCTTATCTTCTCGACTGCTGTTCTCCAGCACAATCTACAAGAAGAGGACGCAACACACACTAAGAAGAGTTGCCCAAGTGTTGTTATCTGCAAAAACCAGCAGCTTCACTTACTCTAATATAGGTGTCCTGATGAAATTTGGCCAAGTAGAGCATGTTGTCCAATGCCAGCATCCCTGGAGGAGTCTGAGTGAAATCCATGGCTGGATTGATGTGGTTCTTTGAAAAGAGCGTGTAGAAAGAACCAAAACAAATTAGCTCAAAGAAACTGTGTGAGAACCTTTTCTGAATGAATTTTACAACCATGTGTCCATCAAGCCCTCCTTCAGATCTATCCCAGAGGTAACCGTGAACACTTGCTGACAACACTAACCAAACTTTCTAGAAGAGAGGCTGATTCCAAGCTCTTCATAGAACAGGTGTGTATGGTAAGTAAATATCTCCAGAGAACATGCCTAATGAGCCCTGGCATTTAACCAGTCAACAGGTTCATAATGATCTTCCTTGGGAGTCTGAGCATATAGGAATTTCTAAAACTCAGATACAGAAGTATGGTAAAGCAAACAGCTACTTCTGTTCCTTATTTCCCCACACCACTGATGGAGATCGCTTAGATTGCCTTTACATGCTTTGCAGTCAGCACTCTCTCTAGATGCATACCGTGAACCCCAGCATCTTGTAGTCCTTGGTGTACATGGCTTTACGTTTTTCTGTTCCACTGCCAGGGACGGTGTTGCTGTCAGACTCTGCATCAAATGCAATTCTTCTCAACTCAAATATGATGTCTCTCTGTGCCTGAAAGACAGAAGGCAGGGAAATGGTAACATGGGATCACCCACTAGGGCAGTATTTTCACCTAACGCACAGTCCCACCTCTCTCTTCAGAGTTCACACAGTGAACACAGAGAGATGCCAAAGGTCATTAACACTGCTTAAGAGGCGGCAATCCATTTCAGAATGGCAAGCTGCAGCACGCTGGGTAATAGCATTTTCCTTTAACTGCCCCAAGTTTAGTTAAAGGCAATTTCTAGGCATTCAGATAATGCCTAAGGCATTAGGTGGAGTAAATGAATATATGGCTTCAGTGACCACCTACATCTCAAAGTCCCATAGCATACATCAGGATAGCTATGAGCATACCCTAACCTCAAGGACTACAATGTAAGAGGTGGTTTTGAAACTTCCTGCACCATCTACTGCAAGTTGTATGGAGCTAAGCAGCACAGGAGTAAGGCCCCTTGTACACATCCTAGTCTATCAGATGTTACTCGGCTCTAGTAGTTACCTGATCATTGGGGTCCATCTTGGTCATCATTCTTTCTTCCAGGAGATTAAAGGTCAGGACCTGTAGCACGTACAGCTGATGTGCCATTTCTGTTTTAATTGGGCGGTTTCCTCTGATCACATGCTGCAAAATGAAGGATAGGGTAGAAATGAAGAGAACACAAATAAAAAAGGAGGCATTAGCTGTAGGCATATGCCAGGCTGCACGTACATCTCTGTATATGAGGATTCAGCTGTTTAACCTCCATATTCCATCAAAAGCATAATGATAATGCTCTGTAACAACAGAAAGAAGCACCCTGATAACTCCCTTTTGAACAAGTGGCTCCAGTTTCACCTTTGAAAGAGTCACTTTTCTGGAAGTGCCCTGAGGGCAGCAGAATTTACAGTCTGCACAAGTGAAACCTCTACTGAGAGAACATGAGGAAGCACTCTGTCATTCCAGACATACTTACATTCAGGATTATAGACCTCAGGTGCTTCTGGGCAAATGCATTAGCCATTTCCTGTTGTGGAATTTAGAGATGAAATAACATGAGTGAAATATAAACAAAAAGCCCACATTGTGCAGAAAGGAGAGAAAGAAGGAAGCCTACGAATTGGAGAGAGCACTGGCACACAAAGTGCTTTTACTACAGACTGGGATTTTATCATGGCATCTCACCACAAAGCAAGCATCAAGTTGGGATGCAAGGGTCATCTTTATGATGGCACAACTCATGGATGGCTCCGCTACAAAACATCATCAATATGGAGAAAGGTGCTAGCATAGTCAAAGAACAGAAGAAAATTTACCTTAACATTGCACATCTAATGATACCTCAACATCAGGAGATATGGCAGCAGGGAGAACACTGTGGATTGCCCAGAAAAATCTGTCATCTATAAGAAGCTCCCCTTCAATTAGCATTTCACAGCTTTCTATACCTAGGTGTACACCCAAGATAAGGAGGGCTAGAGGATACAGTTCCAGGTCTCCTCCCTCTCAAAACTCTCCCTCTGAAATTTACATCTCCTTTGTCTCAGTTCCTAAAGACACGTTGAGAAATCAGTTTAAGGACAATTTGCAGAAGCACAGTTTACAAAAATAAAGGGTAAATAATTTTCAATCTTAAAGGAAAGCTTCTCATTTCCCTCTTTACTGCATGGCTTCCTTCCTTAGATGAGGGTTTCTCAACCATCAAGTCATGATGACAAACAGCCACAGCAGATGCAAATATCTGCCGCAAGCCTTTAGTTCCAGGACAAATTACACGTGCACCTGCAAAAATCTAACCTGTGCTTCCCTTGTAAATTGTGAAGATGCACTTTTTAAAATACCAGTAATCTCATTACACCTGCTAGGGAAGTGGCACAAGTGGTAATGTCAAGATGGAATATTATCAGAAGTTTGCTGTTATAAGCAAAATCTTTGGGTAAGAAAATCTGTTAGGGCAATACATCATCTGGAAGAAGTCCAGAAAAACTGCCAGTCTGAGATCTCTTCCCATTCCTGTGCAGTGCAGACCGAGAACTGGAAGCCAATGTGCAGTCTCAGACAATGGCACTCAATCAGCTGTATATTCTGAGCAATCCAAGACTGTTCCAACTGCTCATATCAACCCTGCTCTTGACACGTTTTATAAGGAGTCTGGTAAAATGCATATATTAACCTCATTCCAAGTCCCCATTATCACTTCTGCTCCAGACAGAAACCTAAAACACGAAAGTGATATGCTGGCTGATATCCAAGATATAATGGCTGCAAGTTCAGCAGCGCTCACGTTATAGCCAAAATGAGTCAGTGCTTGAGTGAAAGATATCTAGGAAGCATCTACAGCAAGTAAGAAGTGGTTTCAGAGATAACACGCTGCCCTCTGAGTCACTATTTTTTACTATGATTCGTGAGAAACAGTACTGAGAATAGAACAAGGCCCGCTGTTAGGGTTTGTTCATGCATGCAACACAAAAAATTCTTACTGTGAAGGAATTAGTTTGTACATGGGATGAAGTAACAGGTGACTGAAGCAGATAAACAGCGTGAAGGACAAAGACAATTAAACAATGTAAATAGCATAGTGAAAAGCATGAGCACGCACATAGCCTAACCACTGCTAAGGGATCTATGTTCAGCTGAGTCCAGCAACACCCACTTTGCAGCCTGATGGGATCACAGAGTCATTTATGTTGGAAGAGAATCCTGAGATCCTCTTAGTCCAACTCCCCCGATTCAAGCAACATCAGACCGACCTGTGTCCAGTCAGGTTTTTAATATCTCCACAGATGGATACACCACAATATCTCTGGGTAACCTGTTCCAGTGTTTGACCACCCTCATATTATTCTGTTTGTTTGTGCGTGTGTTCTGGTTGAATTTCCTGGGTTTTAAGCTGCGCCCATGGCCTCTTGTCCTGTCAGCAGGCACTACTGAGAAGAGTTAGGTTCCCTCTTCTTTATTCCCTTCCATCATCTTCATGGCCCTTTGTGGTCATGTGGGTTGTGTTTAAAGGAAAAGAAGAAAGAAGAAGAAGAAGAAAGAAGAAGAAAAAAAAACAAAGAGGGGAAAAACCCCAAGAAATAAAAATGTGAAAGAACCCTTGGAATTTTCTTTGCTGTGAAGTTTAGTATCTTGGCCAAATTACCAGCAGAGGTGTATGTTCTTCCTTATTTTCATGTGTTAAGCATATCAATTAATTTTAGAAATTATGTAACACCAAGACCACAGTTTCCTGCCTGAAGGTACTGCACCCCCCTGGCATAAGTGGAGCATTCTCTGTGCCACCAGAATATCTAAAAAATGTAGCAGAATCTCAAGATACAGAAGGTTCCAAATCAACCTATTAACAAGAATGGCGATTCCCCTGCAGATAACACGGGGCGAAGAACATTCTTATAGTACAGTTCCCACAAGGGAGAAGTCACAGATTAGGCAGAATGTATGGTCTAGACTCCAATCAGCACTAAGCTTTGCGACTGCTCTTCACAGACGAACAGCTCTACCTTCAGAAGGACACAGCTGAATATGAAACTGTCATTAACACAACCGAGAACCGGGGTATAAAGTCAGGCTGTAATAAGTTTAAGGAGACCCAAACTGCTAAAGAACTGGTTCCAGTTTTAAAACTGGTTCACCTGATCAGTCTTGTAGTACTAGCTTCCTTTTACAATCATCTTTATTATCTTGTGTACACAGTAAGTCATTTTGGATTTCTCCTGCTACCGATTCTTCTCCCCTTCACAATCTGAGCACGTCCCCAGGAGCCCTCCCACCCTTCTCCCTAGGCTCGTCCCCTGCCTGAAGCCTGTACGTATCATCTCTGAGATACAAGGAGGCAGTGGAGAGAAGCTAACATGCCTGCGGTGCCGCAGGACCAGCCCCCAGGCTTGAGTTACTTACAGTGATGGGCAGGTCTAGTGGGTTAAGCAGCTTGTCCTGCTGGCAGAAAGCAAAAAAAGGCACAAAGAGAAGCAGACAGGATTTAGCTTGGAGTCCAGAAATAAGGCACAAATGGGGCACTAGAGAAGAAAGGCTTAACACAGCAAAGCTACACAATACAGACATATGAACATCCTGCACGTAGCGGAGATCTGGGGGGTTTCCTCAGAGCAGGACAGGTGTTTCATTTCTCGTATTGGCCAGTGAGAATATCCCCCTATGACTTAAGAAAGGTCCCTTTTTTGGGGGAGGGGGGGGTGTATGTTTAGTAAATACATACAGCCCCGAGGACTCTACCCAGCCTACCTCTCCCACACAGAATTAACTTCCTTCAAAAAATTTCCATGCTGTATAGAGATTACTTTCTGTCTCAAGGTGTTTCACATTCCCTTCTGAGCATCTAAACATAGATGTGCTGCTCCATAACACATTGTTAATGGGATGGCACTCTTTCTCCTACATTGCCACACTGACACAGCTACACAATTTCTTGGCAAGGTCTGAGGTCTGCCTTGCCCAGCCAGTGTGATTCCTGAGGCATAAAGTAAACAGACAGCCAGTAACCATCATTCAGGTTTAAAGTCAAAAAGCAAGAACAAACCTGTCTCTTGTCCTCAGGTGCCTTCAGGAAGAGGGCATTGATCAGAGCAATGGCATATGTCTGGATCTCTTGGTTTGAGCTGAAGAAACAAAAATGGGAGGATCATAAGAGAACAGTACAGAACATTACAGCTTGCTGCTTTGCCTGCACCGTAAGAACATCTACTACAGCTATTTTGCATTTCAAAAAACAAGCAGGATTCAGGTAATCTCCCTTCATGCCACGCAACTCTTTATAAGGCTTGCAAAAAACCGACAGAATTGCTGACTGACAGCTCCATTATTCAGAAGAAAGTGCAGACTGCAGCCCAGCAGAGTTCAGCACCACCAGTCTGTTTCCAGAGCTGAGACCATATCTGTAAAGCCCAGTTAATACTGCAGTCCATTGCACAGATACAGCCAGAAACTTAGATGGAACAAGTCATTTTTCCCCGCTATGTCAGTGAAAGCCACCAAACACAAATGGTGTTCTGTCTTCCAACCTCAATAGTTTGGTTCAATCCACACATTTTTTTCTTATTTTCACTGAAAAGCTTCTTCTGGTAAAGGGTGACAAGTCCCTTCCTAGATCACACACTGTGTGTGGTTTCACTTATGATGTTTTGAACAAGCTTCCAAACGCCAATCACGCTTTCCCACCCTCATTTTGATGCTCTATCAAATCCAGTTTTGTTTCTTGCTACACTATTTCTCTTTGCAGTGGCTGGACGCTAGGTGCCCACCAAGCTGCGCTATCACTCCCCTCTCCTCAGAGGGACAAGACAGGGAAGAAATTAAGATGGAAAAGAACCTTGTGGGTCAAGATAAAAGCAGGTTAATAAAGCACAGGCAAAGGAAAAATATTTATTCTTCACATCCCATCAGTAGGCAATATCCAATCACTTCCCAGGAAGTAAGGTGGTTGCTTCAGAAGACAAACATCATAACAAATGCCCGCCCCCCTTTCTCTTAGCTTTTATTGCTGAGCAAACGTCCTATGGTTTGGAATATCCCTTTGGTCAGCCTGGGTCAGTTGTCGTGGCCATGTCCCCTCCCATGATCTTGCCCACCCCCGGCCTACTGGTGAGGGGGAATGCTGGAGAGAGCATGACCAAAGACAAAACACAGGTGGGCTATCAGCACCTTTCTAGTGACCAACACAAAGCACAGCACTATGAAGGCTGCTACAGGGAAAATTAACTCCATCTCAGCCAGACCCAATACACTCTTGGGAGACTTCTGCAGAATTTCAAGCTCCTCTGATTAACGGAAGTTCAGTGCATCACCTAAATGAATTTGTGTGTGTACTTTAAAAAAAAATAATTATGTATATGTAAAATTAACCTTTTATAAAACATCTAAAGCTAAACCATATTTTAGCTTAATCAGTTATTTTCCCCACTTTGGCATTTATCCCTGGTATATCTTTGGTAACAATCATATTCTCCTATTGCTCCTTTCCAAATCTTCTTCACTTTGGTCAATCTGCCACACTTCAAACATAAATGTTTGTGCATCATCCCCGGTTTTTCTTGAGGCTCCAAGCTTCACAGGTCTCCGAAGGCTGTCATTTCACCTCCTCTGCCCTCCTTTCCAGAGTTTGCTGCTCTTTTCACCACACTGCTTGCTTTTTGACACAGCAAAACAATTTAAAAATTAACTTCTCTTCTAACTCACCTCTTTCACACTTGTTTCCATGGACCTGTTCTTCCACAACCTATCCTCTGCTAAAGATTGTTCTCTCCTGATAGTCTTGACAAAGAAACACCAGCAAGTTCTGACTCACTCTCTGGCTTTGCTTTCTACAATATTCCCTGCATAGATACCTTCCCTGTTCTGGAAGTACTTAAGCACATGAATATAGGTCTTGAACAAAGGTATTTTGCTTTAACAACTGCACAAACGTGTTTAGTGTTAGGACCAAAACTGTGTTTTACTGAAATAGAAATTATAAAGCTGAAAGAACATATACTCCTTAATATGCATGAAAAAAAATTGATGAGCACTTAGATTCTAGTGAAGACAATTTAAAGAGGGGTGAAGGTGACAGATGACTGGATGCAGAAGCTTTGGGAAGTTGCTTTAGTAAAATGCAAGTTGGGTCCTAACACTGAATACACCTGTGCAGTTGTTAAAGCAAAATATCTTTGTTCAAGACATACTCATGTGCTTAAGTGCTTCCAGAACACATTTTTCCAGGATCTTTTTTTTTAAAAAAAAAAATTTGTTAGAAATCCTAGAGTTCAAGTAAGATGTCATATCAGTAATACTTGAAAAACAGCATCTTTAAGTGCCATAAACATAACAGGATATATTTTGAAATGAACAGAAATTCATAAAAGGAATTAAATCACACCACTGTTGGGTGGACACTCACACTTGCAGATGAGAAATGAGTTGCCCCACGGTGATCTCTTCTGCTATCTTCTGATACAGAGTCTGACTGTTTAGCACCATGCTTTCCAGAATGGCCAGGGATCGCTGGAGGATGGAGACGTCTACCATGGGCTGACTCACATACCCCGCAATCTAAAAACAGGTGACCCAGCAAGTCAGCAGATGCCCATCCAGGGAACTCAGTGGTGAGACAGACAAGCCAAGGGAGACAGAGCTCAGAAAGCTGCGTCCACTCTGCTCTCACTGAGTATTCAGCTTCTCAGAGACATCTTGCTCCTCCTACAAGTTGCACTAAAGCATGAAAAGAAACAGCATCCACTCACCCCTTTACCCAAACTCACCTGTTTGATGAAGGTTATTGAGACCATGTCCCAAGAGACAATGCCGTGGTCCATGAGCTCCAAGAAGGCGGTCAGGGTGAAAGCCAGCATCTCACTGTAACTGAGAAAATAAAGGATGCAGTTACAAGAGATCTGGTAGCAAGGAAAAACCTTGTCCAAGCTGAATAAGCTGGGTAAGAGGAAAATGTCACCACCTTCTCCTAATAAACAGGCTACAGTTTGACAGCTGGGGGAACAATCAAGTATTTGAATTTATGATAATTTTATTGTTTTGTAGAATCATTTTTTAATTTTTCCTGATTACAAACACAAATTAAAACTAGCAACAGTAAGTCCCTAGTCCTGCCACCAGAGACTCACAATCACCTGGATCAGCAGCTGGCTGGTCAAAGGAGTAACAGGAGAATGCAGTATTTACTCCTGAGCAGTGCGAAGTATCAAATTCAACACTTTCACATGAGAAAAACTCAAACACAACCAAAAACCAGCAAACCCCAGAATATTCAATACAATGACCATCAGCTAAAAAAAGACCAACTTGAAAAGGGGAGAGCTTTCTAAGCTGATCAACTGAAAACGTAAACCATCTGTAAACACTAGGTTTTACAAATGTTGTCAGATTTGAGCACCAGGGTAAATTTATATCACAAAACATGCAGAAGTCTTTGGAAATTATAACTTCTACACACACACACACACACACAAAATGAACAAACATGTTTTAACATCAAAGAAAAACAAAGGAAAAATTGGCATTCTCTAAATGCTGGGACATGCCTTGAAACTAAATGAAAGCACAGTATGAACTGTGGAAAATTTAATACATAACCACAAGGCAGAAAGGTAAAAAAGACTGAGGGAAAAACTGCAAAACATGCTGAAACCATATTAGTTGCTAATATATGAGAAAATAGAAAACCTATAAAAGTTATGACAGTAAGTTATCAAGACTTCCAAAGTGTTTTCAATGAAAGAGAATGACGACAGTGGAAAAGCCAAGTGAATTATTTATATCAGAGTTCACTGTGAACGTGCTTGGGGAAACTTCCAAATCAGAGTTAGTTTTGGTTTTTTTTTCAGTTTGTTTTTTCTTTGTTTTTAAAAAAGAAGAAAACTCTTCAAATCTGTCATATGAACATCACTAGAAGACATTATGGAACAAGCCATTAATATAAAAAACAAGTCTCCAGGACCAGATGATATTCACTGAAGAATTCAAAGGAACCATGGTAAAAATGAAACATTGCCAAACTACTTATTGTACTCTGCAGAAAGTGGCAAACAAAATGACAACTTTTAGAGGACTCAGGCAGAAATCCGAAGGACATATCAGGCATTTAGATATTTGTAACAAGAAAGATAGAGGCAATCTAGAATAGAAGAATAATACCACTAGAGCAGCTGTGAGAGAGCAGTCAAAAAGCACGTGAGAAACCACCCTGCAGGCACCAGAGGTCAGTGAAGGAAGAAGGGGAGGAGGTGCTCCAGGCGCTGGAGCACACATTCCCCTGCAGCTTGTGGGGAGACCACAGCTGAGCAGGTTGTGCTCGCGGCCCACAGACCACCACGGCGGAGCAGATATTCAGCCCACAGAGGCCCCCACGCCGCAGCAGGCGGAGATGCCCTGAAGGATGCTGCAGCCCACGAGCCCACGCTGGAGCAGGCTCCTAGCAGGAGCTGCAGCCCCTTGAGAGGAGTCCACGCAGGAGGAGGTTTTCTGGCAGGAACTGTGGCCCACAGGAGAACCACACCAGAGCAGTTTGTGAAGGACTGCATCCCACGGAAGGGACCTCACCCTGGAGCAGGGTAAAAGCGTGATGAGGAAGGACCGGCAGAGACAAAGTGCTATGGGCTGGCTGCAACCACCATTTCCCATCCCCCTGGGCATGTGGTGCAGGGGGAGGCAGAATGGTGGGGACTGAAGGAATAAAATTAAGCCTGGAAAGAACAGGGTGGAGGGAAGGTGGTTTTACTTTTGTCCTTGTTCCTCACCATTCTACTCTATTTTTAATTGGAAAAAAAAAATATTAATTTTTCCCAAGTCGAGTCTGTTTTGCCCAACCCCTGAGCCTTTTCATTTTGTTTTCTTCCCCTGTCCTACTGAGGAGGAAGAGGAGTGAGAATGGCTTTGTGGGCAGCTGGCAGCCAGACGAGGTTAACCCACCACAATGCTGAAGGTCTCTGAACAAATCAGTAAGGCAGAATGAAAACACTTAAGCACAACTCTTGGACTTTGAAGAAGATTATGATGTGCTTCACTAAAAGTGCCTTAAAAAACCCCAAACATTCAGCTGCTAAAGGGTAAAAACAAAAGCCCTTTCTTGCACTAAATAACCGAATGAAAGCCAAGAAACAAAAGAGTAGAAATTAAATGGTCAGGTTTCAAACTGATGAAAAGTTACAAACAAATTCCCTCACACCACCACAATAGTACTGGAAAGAGCTAAGAGCTAGGGGAAGCATGGAAAGAATGATTAGCACTCCGGAATGGCTGCCATAGTTACAGTGATAATGGACTAAGACTGCAGTTTAGAAAAGGCATGACTAAGGGTTGATATGAGAGAGATCTATATGGTTATGAATGGTGCAGCGAAGACAGAGGAATTTACGATTTCTCATAACAAAATATGCAGAGGGAACCATATGAATATTAGGTAATAAATAAAGGAAATACTTTTTTCTTATAGGACAAGTAGCTGTGGAACTTCATTTCCACACAGTCCTGTAGATGTCAAAAGGATAAACATTAAAAAATTAAGAACCACCACTTAAGGAACCACCACCACTCAAAGGTTCTTAAAACAAAGAGACAGAATTTCTGCTCAGGAAGCCCAAATGTTGGAAACCGAAGACTGATGCTTTCTCTGCTATACACTCTTTAGCCCTTTCCATTCCCTAAGATAAACAGACCTTTGGCCTTATAGCAACTCTTCTTACCATGCAGGTTGAAAAGTACTGTATACAAGAGCCAAGTACTGTATACAAGAGCCAGCAACATGCCTGCTGCTGACTGGCACCTGCATGCCACCAGTTCTCCAGGAATGTTTTTGTGTGCAAGTGCATGTGGGGTTTTTATGGGATACCTTCTCCCTTAGACTGCAGATGAATAACTGCTCGAGGAGATTATGACCACAAGAACGGTAGTAACAGTTGCTTAAACTATCAAAGTGACCTTTCAGTGCAAGTTTCACACATAAATGTCTCGTCTTCTGCCTCATGGGGTTAAGCAAGTGATTAGAAAGACTCTGTCCCAATTTATACTTCGACATTTGCTATGAGGTTCGGTGCTTAATGCTACTTCAGCAAGCAAAATTAACCCCTTATTTGAGCCCTTGTTCCAGAGTCCTGGAATACAGGAAACTTACTGGGATAGAAGCTTGGTCCCACTCTCCACAAGCCGTGTCAGCACTGTAATCCCTTCCATGTTGATGAACTCTGTGGCAAAGGTCACATCTGCTGACAGTTTAGCCAGTTCCTTCATGGCGTCCAGTCGGGCTTCCATACTGTGTGACTGGATCCTCTCCATCAGCTGACGAGCTGCCCTAGACTGGGAGGAAAGAGGGGTGACACCAGTTACAGACTGAGTTCTGCCAGCATCAGCATGCCATCAGAAGTCCATGGATGGGCAGAGAGAGTGTGGCAAGCGTAGAGAGAGAACCACCAGCAGTCAACAAGTCTAAGGCAGACTAAAGAAAGGCTGCACTCAGCAACAGTTACAGCCAAACAGAAGGCAAGTAAAATGCTATTTTACATGTTAGAGAAAATGCTTGGTTTTCTGCTTGGTGAAGTGAGTGGAGGTGGATACAGAAATATGGAGTGAGACCATTAAAGAAATAAGATATTAAAAAAAAGTCTCTCATAGTTGAAAGAGAAACACAAGCTCATTCTGTGTATCCACACAACACTAAGATTGCTCAGACATAGATCAGTGATACCCTCTCAACTACCTCTCACCCAAATAACGTCTTCCTGTTCTACTCACTCTCAGCTATATGCCATGACACTCGCACAAAAAAGGTTTAAGAATTTCAATAAAAAGAAAGATGCATCAAGTCTGCAAAAGACAACTGTTAAGGTCACAATGGCAAGAATTTGCTACGAACAACCCCCTCTGCATCAGATTTGTCTCTTATTTTCATTTCTGCATTAAGTCACCAGTACTGTTGCCTTCTGACTGAAAATACTTACTGCATTCATATTGAGAACGTGTCTGTCAGGTGCTTTAGAACATGTGGTGAGGCCCTGGCACAGGCTGCCCAGAGAAGCTGTGGCTGCCCCCTCCCTGGAAGGGTTCAAGGCCAGGCTGGATGGGGCTTTGGGCAACCTGGGCTAGTGCAAGGTGGCCCTGCCCGGGGCAGGGGGTGGCACTGGATGGGCTTTAGCATCCCTTCCCACCCAAACCATTCCATGCTAATCTAGGAGATGCAATAAAAATGTAGACTGGATTTATTTACAGAAAGTCCTACAAAAGGACAGAGCGTCCAAAGGAAAGATACACACTGCAACCAGGAAGGAATTGTGCAGAATGGCCCACAACAACGGTAAGCCCCCTACAATCTGGGGAGAAGGAGAAAGAAAAGCTGAGAGGCAAGAAACATACTGTCATATGAGGATTGCTACTGAGAAAAAGGGACATGAGGAAGCATTTACCGGAGAGACTGCCAGCTGTAGGATAGTTCCGTTCTTGATATCACAGCGAGTCTGAAAGAAGAGAGAAACTTGAAATTGCAGAAAAGTGTGGGGGAAAGAATGCAACTGGATCTACAGTGCACATTTGTGTGCACAAATAAACGGGCTCCTGTATCATGTGACCCTACTGATGGTACTGAATTGAGTCACCGGGTCCTCACACCTACAAGCGTGCACAAGGATCCTCGGCTGAATGACACCGTTCAAGTACAAGTATTTCTGACAGCAGAGATGCTGCCCCCCAAAGATCAGCGACAGTAGTGTTCCACAACACTAGCCAAGGCATTCTGCACTCTTGCCCAGGACATCAGCAAATTGCTCCCTCTCACACTGACCTGCTCTGTGATGTACAGCTGAGGACCATCAGCATACCGCAAGGTGTAGTATTCAGGGTTTGGCAACGACCACCTGGAGAGGAAGGAGGAGGATACATAAGCTTCTTCCTCCTCTTTCTTCTGGCTCTCAATTAGGAACAGAACCTTGATCCCAGGAGCGTGGAAAAGAACTTTCAAGCAAAGCTTTAGCACAGGAAATTAGATCTCTCAGAGCAAACCACCTTCCCCTTGAAGGGGGGACAGGACTTCAGCCTACTCTATGTCAAGCTCTGTGGAATGTCTGAAGAGGCCTGTGCTCCAGGAACAGCAAGATGGGTCAACCCTCAGAGGCACTGACCTGAGGGGCATACATATGCACACACTCAGAACTGGAATAAAGATACAAAGCCCCTGTTTTCCAAGAGATCCTTTTCTTCCCGATTTAAACTCTGGTCCATTTCATGGCCAAGAGTGGCAGCAGGCAGCATGGATCATGCCAGCAGCACAGTGACAAGCAGCAGAGACTTTCACACTACTCCAGCAAGATTTGTCAGGGGACAGACTTTCTCCACAAGGGTTCCCAGAGAACTACTCACCCATCACAGACCTCCTTGATGATGGATGCAAGAGGCCTTTTCTAGAACAGAAAGAGAGAGTCCTCAGTAGCCATTTTCCTCTTAACCATAAAGGAAAACTGCCCATTTCTATGCTTCCCACATTCCAGTATCAAGTTGTGGTGCATGTCCTCCCCCACCTGGTTACCAGGTCTTACCTGATCTATTTCCAGCAGCTGGGCGTTGGCACCTGGCCACTCAACAGCTACTTTCACAATGTCCGAAGGTGGTGGCATCGCTTCAGACTCCTCCAGGTGCCTTTACAACAGCATACACCCCCACACCTGCTAAGAGAAAGGACAGTAAGCAGCTCTGAAAACTATTTCGATTGTTACATTGCATCTAACAGCAAGCTTCAAAACACCACAAAAGACTAGCCTTATGGTTTGCTAGGGACAGAACACCCAGTGTGCCAGAGATCAAGGCCGCATACTAAACCAGCACACTGTGACATTGCATGCCCAACCCTACCACCTAAGGAATACTTCTGAGAGCTTGTTGGGGTACCCACACAAGAAGGAGGGTCACTCTGATCAGCAAAGCCCCATCTGCCACCCACTGTCCATAGTGCCAGGTCAGTTTACAGGACTAGTAAAGCAATAGCTCTGTGGGCTCAGCTACCATCTGTATGTGGCAGGGGGAACCCACTGTCCAGGCAGCCTCCCTCTCACTGATGTTCCATTCATATTTCTCAGATACCCTGATGCACTCAGGATACCCAAACAGGCTCCTAAGCAGAGTAGCAGCAGCTAGCTTTATCCCATTGCCTTCCTAGAACATCATAAAACTAAAACATGAATATCCATCACAGAAAAAAAGTTAACTTAGCATTTGTTCTGGAGGTCTACCTTTCACTCTACCTGAACTTAAGATTGTGTTCAGGGTTTGGTCCCAGACAGTTGTCAGACATGCTGGTTTGTGCTTCAACTAAGAAGTAAGAGACTGTAAAGAAATGTACTACTTCAGTTCTTTTTTAATCCTCTCCTGCTCCTTCCCACAGAGTCATAGGGTGAAAGTCCCATGGGAAAGATACAACCCTCCCCATCAGCAGTTCTCAGCAACAAGGGGTTCAAGCTGACAAAAATGAGATCTGACCAGACACAGAAATACTCCTGTCCTTAGGAACTCCTCCGAAGACTCAACTTCCAGCATGCCCTCAATGAGATAGTAAACATCTGAAGAAGAATTTCCCAGCTCCTATGGAAACTCCTATTTCTCCTCCTGGTGCAACCCAATTCCCCTTTCCCAGAACAGAGGTGAGACAGTGCTGAGCAGGGACATTGTTTCAATACTAATGTACTTTCCCAACTTCCTTGATCAACTGGGGAAGAGATGCCAAGACAGCCTAAGACTTGAAGGGAAACCGGCAGCCTTTGGAACTTCCCTGATGTAAGGCAAATAAGGAAGAGAGAACTTTCCATGGATTTGCAAAGACCAAGCAGCTGCAGAAATACCTGGCCTATGAAACTGGACTACACACTGTCCTGGAGAAGAGAACTTCATGAAATTAGCTGAGTCTATCACAAAAGGCGTGTATGCCTGGCCTGTATAAGATGCTGACCTAGAGATCCACTAAGATTGCATGATCTCAATTAATGAAGCTCATATGCCTCTTCCTTCCCTCATAGAGACTGGTCTCACTACATGAAGAGATAAAAATTCAGCTGTACTAATATTTCTCTGCATTTGTACAAACACAAACCCCTTTATCAGCACCCTGTGACTGTCTTCTCATTCTAGATGAGGCAACTTCCTCACCTAGGAAAACAGAATGCTATGATCTCCTGGTGCAGTCTTCCGAGATAGTCACAACATTATCATCACTCCTGTCTGCTGGAATTGAGGATGAGGGTGCAAGTTTAGCATTTATTTCATAGCACCTCCTGGAAATGCTCGGTGTTATCACTGCAGCTAGCCTTGCCCTCGAGTCTCCACCAGATCAGAGATACTTGCTTTACAGTGAAGGCACTTGCTGGAGAGAGAAATCAGCCCTTCTGCTATTAAAACGAGCATCATTTATGATGAGAAGCCCTTCTGAAACTGCTGCCTTGCTCAGCTTGCTCTGGTCTCAGCACGTGTATGGTCTTTGCAGTTCCTGCAGGAAGCTCAAACTCCAAAGCTATCTGGGGCTTCAGGCAACCCAAAAGGGAGATTGGTATTGCATGTGCCCAGGAACACGATCCTCCTTCACTCCTACAACAGCCAGACTCTGTCCACTCCACCATCCCACCCCTTGGAAAATATCTGGCAAGCCAGATTCAGAAGTTCATGATATTCTGAAAATGCACAGCTTATCCCAACTCACAGAGATGGTTACAGTCAATACTCCTTCTGGCCTTCTCTTTCCTTTTTAGCATCAGTCCCAAGAGCAGCTTATGTCTTCTTAAAAACCCATAAAATGACTGTAAGACTAAACACATCTCATGCAGAAAGTGCCAGTCAAGTTTGGTTCAGCTTTGCCAGTTTCTTAAAATAACATCTCCAATCTTTCAGATAAGCAGCACAGCATTAGCTCAGACTAACGTACCAAGAAAGAGCTGGTCTCAGAAAAGGAACAGTTGGTGCACCCGTCAGGTTGAGCAGGTCTCAGGGGCAACAATAGAAAAGCATTTATATGATTCCTGCCATACAAAATTGCAAGTTAAGCGTCAAGCAGATACACAACCACCTGATACTTTCTTTCTAATCCTGGAGGGAAGACAACCAGCCATTTCCCACTCCAAGATTCTCTCTGAATAAAAATTTTACCACTCTCATCTTGACAACAAACAGGAAAGCCTGTCCTTCAGAGAAGGGGCATAAGGTAAAAAACTCCAGCTTGGACAAGGTGAGGCCTCACAAAGGAAGACTGCTCATACAAGAGCTCAATAAAATCAGTGTTTCAAAGAAGCCTTTGCAGCCCACAGAGCTAAGCTAATTCACAGATAGCACTGAACATATGCTGTCCTGTGGAAACACCAAATCCCATGAGCATGTATTAACATACTCCCCTTTATTCACAGATTTTGATTATCTGTGCTCTATTCTCTCACTCCAAGACAGAAACATATAATTTACTCTTTGCTAAGAGAGACTTGTTAACTTTCAGCAAGTATGTTCTCAAGAGGCCTCTAACCCTAAACACATACACAGCTGCTGGTGCTATTTTCGCACCCATTACAATCAGTAAATTGGACTCTACTCCTTTCTTCTGCACTCATCCTTAAGCAGCTGCTCTTCTTTTGTCCAAAGTAAACTACAAATTAAGGCAACAAAGCACAAGGAAGCCAGGACCAGAATAGCACCTTGCCTCATTGCTTGAGCAGAGCAAAGCTCTTAGGAATGCTCTGAGCCCAGATATCTTTAGAAGGCTGCAGCCCCCTGTACACCCCTCATTCTGGGAGTTAGCACCCGCAGTAAGCCCTACACCAGTTATCCTCAGTCTGTTCACAAGTCAATGGCCAATACCTGGTATTTCTGACTTGCCACACTGCAAGTCAGAAGAGTCCCTCCTGATCCTAAAAATCTGACCTTCTCTATCATCTAAGTACAGTGTAATAGAGACAAGGCAGGACCAAGAAAGGCTGCCAAACCAACGTGCTCTGTAGCATCAGCCATAAGAATCTGGAGCTTACCTGTTCCTTCTGTCTTGCAAAGAGATAGATGAACCTAATAAAACTATGAATAGGTCTTCCTCACTTCCTTTTCCTGAATTACACACACTCAAATAAAAAATAATTTAGACTTTCAAACATCTTTTGCAGCAATAGCTCAAAACAGGGATAACTGTTTTTCAGTTAAATCAATTATATCTTGAATATCTTGAATCATATTGTATCTGTGGCAATTACTTACTAGTATACAAGCAGTAGCACATCTTTGTGCACATTCCCCAAACAAAGTGCCCGCTTTGCATGACACGCCTGATCCGCAGGACAGACAGGTTTCTATCCATTAAGTCTAGAAATAGACAAGCAGTTCCCAAATGGTATGTGATTTCCACTCACTGTTCTCCATTCAGCAGATAAAGCTTGTGATGGCCTAAACATGAAAGCCTGAGGAGTCTCAAGCATATGGCATGAGCACACGTCATCTCCAGTAATGAGACTGGCTTGCAGTAAGTGAACAGATAATTATTTCTCCCACAAGTGAACCAATTCATGACTAGAAATCATCTAAATCCATTCAGTATTCAAGGCCCAGCAAATAAACAGTGAAGAGGCAAGGCTCAAAGATTACTTCCTTGAGTATTAAAAATTGAACCTGCAATTCTTTTAACTAATATACTAATGAATAATTAACATCTAATTACCATTCCCCCTTCAGCCTCCTGCCGTACAGTCATGTTTATCTGTATCGCAACTTAAATTGCAAGTTGCTACTGAGGAGTAGAAGGAAATATGGTACTTTACATGGCAAAAGAAAGATGCCCAAAGATGCCCAGGTTACTATAGGTAGAAGCCTTTACAAATCTAACATCTTCTCCTTTGCAAAGAACACATATCATTCCAGGAGAAGTAGTGTACATTAAAACAAAAACATTGATATTATGGAAAATTCTGTAGAAATCATAGAATCGTAGCATCATTTAAGTTGGAAAAGACCCTTAAGATCATCGAGTCCAACCGTAAACCTAACACTGCCAAGTCCACCGCTAAACTGTGTTCCTAAGCACCTAAATAAAGACTCCTCTTTCATCAGAAAAAGTACTGCAGGGGCTGGCCCACAGCTCCTAGAAGCAACGCACTCTAGCTCCAGTTCCCCTTGCCACAGGGAACAGTAACCAACCAAGTTGTATTACACTACCTGCCTATCCCAGAGAAAAGCTTTCAGCTGCATGCAAACTCAGAAAGTAACTCACCGTGATACTTTAGACTATTTCTGCCCCAAACTTCTTCCATAAACTAGTACCCACTCATGACTGGACACCATGTTCCCTATTCCAATCAGTACTCAAGGCACTGCAAACAGGCAGTGAAAGAAACAGCGCTTAAGGACTGTTTCTTTACACAGCAGCACCACGGAACAGGTACCACACGAGCCTGCAGTGGAAGAGGCTCAAACATCAAAATGAACCAGCTAAGCAGAACCCAGAGAAGTAGGAATTAAAAATTAAAAGAGGTAGGAAACTCTGCAGACAGTATGGGCTAAACAACCCTTTGAAGGGCCTACGCAGATGGGTGGCTCAGCAGAAGCAGCTTTCCAGAAGAGGACAATGAAGACTGGACTACAAATACAAAAGGCACTTCAGGTCAGCCTCTTAACATGAGGTTGGCTATCAAAAGCATTCTTTGAAAAGGTTTCACTCTATGTCTGCAGCAAGAGAGGTGACAGATGTTACATTCTACCATGGATATTCTGTAGTGCACCCGTGATATATCTGATAAAATGACTGTTCAGAAGCTCCTGTAAAGAAGCACAGACTGTGATTTTGCATAATCGTGATTATCAGCCACTTACGGGTCTCTCACAGCACATTCTTCTCAACAACAGCCTGTAATCAATTCTCACAGTTTTATACAGGGAGATAGCAGCCAAGCTGAAATCCATCAAAGATGAATTCACTCTGCTTCTGCAGAGCGAGTTCCTTCACAAAGAGCAGTGGTGCAGGGGTAGCTGCAAGGCAAGGAGAAATCAGCAGAGCCACTAATAACACACTATTCAAGAGACTTCTGAGAAGCTGCAAGCTAAAACAACTAGAGTATTTTTAAACAGAACTTCCCTATTCACAAACTCAATCTTCTTTTCATTACAGATAGAGAACAAAGTGTGCTGCACACAGAATGAAAATGAGGAGGATGAAAGAACATTCCATAAAAAAAAAATAAAAGCTGTCTGGTAAAACCCCCCAGTGAACAAGCAAATAGTTGCAGCCTCTAAAACCTGTAGATGTGGCAAAACATCCCCATCAGTTCTCATCAAGGCCCCGAGTGGTACCAACAGGCCACACAAACGGTGGAAGCAACTAACTGGACAAGTGTGCAGAGGAGACAGCTTCCCCGACCACGCCGCTTAAGAGGGTGCAGGCAGTAGCACCCAACCCGAGGCTACGTATAGC